TTAGCCGAATGACCGTATGAAAGAAACCCGCGAACGGCTTGTACCATTCGTGACATAACAGGGAAAACCGTAAAGCGAGGACCCGTGCTGTACCGTACGCTGTGGGAACCTGTCCTGGCGTGACAGGTAGATCTGATTTACGGTTGAGGAGTCCTTGGGACGCGATCTACGACGAAGACCGGGGTCAGAAGAAGCTGGACGGGCGGAAAAGGCCTGAACAGGATTCCTGGACACAGCTATCTCGGTAAAACCTTGTGGATACTGAAACCAAGATGGCGTCTGAGAGAACCCGGAAGTGGATCCTCATTCAACGCTGACCTCGAACGGTAAGGAGCCAGGTAAGGGGAGTGCCTTAAATAGGCAAGGGAAGCAAACCAGCACCTCCCACAAATCCAGGCAAATTGCCTTAATACATATATATATGTATATATATGTATTAAGGCAGTTTTGCCTGTATTTGTGGGAGGGGCTTAAATTAATTCACTCCCCTATATAAGGGACACCCCTTACCTGACTCATATCGCTTGAGGTCAGCATCAGAATGATTTCCACTTCCGGGTCATCCAGACGCCATTTTACCTGATTACTCCATGAGGTTTTCTAAGCTGAGCTGTGTCAGGAATCCAGCCACAGGCTTTTCCGGCCTACCACCTTCTTTCTTCAATCTATCGCTGTGGATGGTGTCCAAGTGACTCACAAACCGTAAGTTGACCTACCCATTACGCCAGGCATCAGTCCCACGGCACCATGCAAGGGTCAGGTCCTCACTTTACTGCTGCATTTTGTCTAAGTCTGTTCTAAAACCATTGCATGTTCATGCATATCATTCGTTTAAACCCCCTACTGGTCTTTGGGTGTACTACAGACTTCTTAGACATTATCGCATTTCATGTACAAACCAACGAACCACTGCATCTTTGCCTACACACTGACCCCTACCGGTCATTCGGTGTACTACAGGCTTCTCAGACATTATTGCATTTCATGTACAAACCAACGAACCACCGCATTTTTCACCTACACACTGACCCCTATTGGTCATTCGGTGTACTACAGGCTTCTTAGGCGTTGTTTGCATTTTCATGTACAAACCAATAAACCACTGCATTTACACCTACACACTGACCCCTACTGGTCTTTCGGTGGACTACAGGCTTCTTAGACATTATCGCATTTCATGTACAAATCAAAGAACCACTGCATTTGCGCCTACACACTGACCACTACCGGTCATTCTGTGTACTACAGGCTTCTCCGACATTATTGCATTTCAGGTACAAATCAACAAACCACTTAATTTTTCACCTACACACTGACCCCTATCAGTCATTCGGTGTACTACAGGCTTCTTAGACATTATTGCTTTTCATGTACAAAACAATAAACCACTGCATTTTCACCTACACACTGACACCTACCAGTCATTCTGTGTACTACAGGCTTCTCAGACATTATTGCATTTTATGTACAAACCAACAAACCACTGCATTTTTCACCTACATACTGACCCCTATCAGTCATTCGGTGTACTACAGGTTTCTTAGACATTATTGCTTTTCGTGTACAAAACAATAAACCACTGCATTTTTACCTACACACTTACACCTACCGGTCATTCAGTGTACTACAGGCTTCTCAGACATTATTGCATTTCCTGTACAAACCAACGAACCACGGCATTTTCGCCTACATGCTGACCCCTACCGGTCAATCGGTATACTACAGTCTTCTCAGACTTTATTTTATTTCATAAGCAAACAAACTAACTACAGCATTTTCGCTTTTATACTGACTCCTATCTGTCATACGGTAGGATTAACCCCTTAGGGACACATGACATGTGTGACATATCATGATTCCCTTTTATTCCAGAAGTTTGGTCCTTAAGGGGTTAAAGGGTATTTTTACCATACAATCAGCATTTATGACCCCTACTGGTCAACAGCAAAACTGTCTTCACATGTCATATACAATTTACCAGCCAATATAAATTACACATAAGATTGTTTTAACCCCTTAAGGACACAAGACATGTGTGACGTGTCATGATTCCCTTTTATTCCAGAAGTTTGGTCCTTACGGGGTTAAACATAACCATAAACCATAAATGAAACTCCAACACGGGCTCAAATTCAGGTTTAATTCACAATAATTTACATTTCACATCAAGACCAACAGTGGTTCTATCAACACTGCCACCTACAGGTCTGTCAAGTACATTGACAATTTTCATGGGGTTTTACAAACACCAAAACACTGACACCTATAGGTCAACAGACAAACAACATTTCACATACCAATCAGTATCCAACTACACTGCCACCTATAGGGCACTCGGCAGATCTCCAGTGCACTTGCATTTTGCAACACCATGTTCACTGACCCCTACCATTCAATAAGACATACAACAATTCACATAGCAAGCACTATATCAACATCAGGTATAAATACATATATTATTACACAGTAGCAGACGCGTCTGTATATACGTAACTGGTAATATAGTTCACATACATTTTTCACAGCACGCTGCTCACGCAACAGACTTTCCCCTAGCAAGGGGACATACAACATACAAGGTGGGGACAGACCACATTTTCACTTGTACATACGGCACTTAATGGGTTAAGATTGATACATATTTAACCAGTATGGCTACGATGTTTAATATTTACACATCATGGCACTTTACTTTTCACATATACTGTACGTATTAAGATAAGCTTGGTCTATGCCATATTTCCTTATGCCATACGGTTTTATCCATTCAGGTTACAGTTACTACTAAAAAACCTATACGGATTGTCAGGTTCAATACCATACTACCAGGTACATACACCTGCTCACGTAGTTATCCATCTCTTACCTTCCCTGGAATAGTAATAGTGTACTGGCAATTAGGGTTCTAGGGCCCAATAGGTATTACCCCCTTTTTTCTCTGCATTATGCTTCGGTTAGTGGTCCCGCGAGGCCAACACCCCGCCTCACACTCGGAGGCATACACCCCTCGGGCCACTCGTGAGCTAGCCGCCTCGCATTGTATCATAGAGAGGGCCTCACCTGTCACTCCCCTTCCTATTTTCTGGTTACTGTCACCGAGAGGCCAACATCCTGCCACAATGTTCGGTGGCCACACAAAATCCCCTCGCGCCAAGCATAGATAGAGCCTCTCAAGCCACTTGGCAACTAGCAGGGCCTCACCAGTCACCAAAAACACCAAGCCTAATCGTTTCGCCTTACGGCTTAGCTAGCAAGCCAGTACAAGAACCCTGGGTACAAATAATTGCATCTTTATTGTTATTTAAGTATTTCTCCAAAAGATGGTGAAGAATCACCTCTTCCTAGCACCCCGGCTAGAATTGATACACCTTCAAGCAGAGGAGATGTTGCTAGTCCTGCAGCAATCAGATCCTGGACGATCCCACACATTACCACCGACCTAAGGAGGTGACAAATCCCCTACCCTGCTACAGCAAGGAAAGCAGAGTTATTCAAACTCCTCCATACATCAACGGACAACACGGAGGCAGGGGAAGGCCCAGCTACATCAACTCAGGTGACACCCAGGCTATGCTAGCCTCACTCATAAACTCATGAGCCAAAAAATTTTATGACAGACTGGCAATCTCGAGTTGGTCACCACAGCCCTCACAAGGCTGGGCCTCACGTTACTGTACAACCAGCACCAACCGAAACTCGGTTACCTGGTACAATCAATTCTTATGACACACAAGATGTTAACCCTGCACGTATGATCCCAGCACATTGGGGAAGCAAGGCATATATATGTATGATGATGTATCTGTGATGGTCAGATTCAGGGATTCCAGGTAAATCGGGAACTGACCATCTCTTGGATGGGTTGGTATTTGGAATATGTAGAGATGTTCATTTGTGCAGGTACCCATACAGAAGGGGTTCTGTCCCAAACAAATGGACGAGCACTCTCAGGCTCCAGGTACCAGCACCTCTGAACTACCAGAGACGATTGATATGAGTAGTTGCATTGCATATAGACTGTTGCATATATGTTCAAATGGTTCAGGGCACATGACAAACCATGTGGCCCAATACAACTTACAAATAACGTACTCACCATCTGTACACACCAATGCATTTTCAACACTACTGACTCATCACCCTTCCAGACTTGTAGTAGATTTACTAAAGCTCTGGAGCTTCAAAGGGCTCCCATACAGGTATCATAAACACACCTTCAAGGAATATAGCATGCCCTCACTTACAGTCAGCACAACAAAACCATTGGCTGAAAACACACTCATAGCCAAGATTTGCAGAGTGGTCTTCCAATCTCCACCATTTACAGCATGGCACCAAACACACACATTGGTATTGTCACAAGGAATCTTCCCTTAAACAAAGACTAACCATAGACTTATTGGCACCACACACCTCCGCTACCCCAAGTCTCAACTCCCTTCTTACTATACAACACCATTGATCTACCTTTACAGCTATCACTCAAGCATGGGTTAAAGCTTGGTTAAGTAAGACCAATATCATCAACGCAGTAAACAGCTACCATCTACCCTACACACTGGCACTTACATGGCATAAATTGGGCAATCCTTTCCCTGCTCAACTTTCGAGCTACAGATTAACCTACTATCGATATTCGCAGATACTCTGTGCTGGTTATGATAACATATCCAGAGGCATTACAGTCATACACTATCTAGAAGACTTCTTGTTGCTCAAAGAAAGCATATTTTTCACTAGAAGCCTCATGGCAGCTTAGTCTGGTTGACCACTTGGGCGTCCCAGTACCCCATAAGAAACAGAAGGCGCAGACACTATCATCACATTACTGGGCATATGACTTGAGTCGGCATCCATACACGCAAGTTACCACAAGACAAATAGGGAACATTCTCAACTAAATCAATCACTACCTCCTGCTTAGTACTTACAACTACAAGGAACTACAATCCCTACCAGATTCCTTAATTTTGCCATGCCAATCATACCACAAGACCACGCTTTCACATCCAGAGTACTTTCCCCTTTTCCACACTTCCAACATGACGATCAGAGGAGGTGCCTAGACACCTCAGCAACAGCAGACCTGCACATTGGGGGGGATTTCTTAACCACTTGGCATGGTAAAAGCATGTTCCTTCCAGGATTGTCTGACACTTCTCCAACCAGATGGTCAGACGCAGCGTATACCACGGGTTTGGCAGCGATCTACCGGGAACAATTGCTTTGGGGCTGTTGGCCATGGCATCCAGGTTTGGAAATTTTTCCACCACTTCAGCCCCTTTGGGAGATCTACCCCATTGTAGCAGCTGCTGTGGCATGGGGTAAATCATGGTCAGGGTCATCAATCCGTTGTTACTCAGACAACTAAGCACATATCATATCATCAACAAACGCCACTACTCATCCATAAGTTCATGATGTTTCTGGGGAACTCACTTGGTTGGCCACTTATCACATTTCACTTTCATGTACCAGACGGGGGTATACATCCCTGCCGACAACTGTCTCATTTATATTCCAGGCATGTTCATCATACGCTTCCTACAGCCGCCCATACAGTCACGTCCACTCTTTCGTTCCAGAGACAAAATCATGGATTAGACATACTCATGCAGCATAGCATGCACTATCCCACCTAGCACTTTCGTCCCATACTTGTAGAACGCATAACACAGCTTTTCACCTGGCTTAAAGAATCTCATTGGAACACGACATAGCTCAACCTGTGTCACAAAATTTCTCCTAAGTTTTGCTTATTTTTGCCACCTTAAACTTAAACTATCTCATACACCATTAATTATATATTTTACAGGCATTCAACAACACATGATAACCTATGGCCAAAACTACCATAAACTTCATGCTATCATACCAGAAAAGAATATACTCAGAGGTTTTCAGGAATCCATTCCCCCACGTTCCTCTCAGAGATTACCAATAGCCATCCAACTGTTCATCCTTATCGGACCTATTAGATCTACAACCATTCAATTATACTACCAAGTCGGCCATTACCAGCCATGCACATTGCCTTTTATGCCTTTCTCAGGCCAGAGAATCCACTACCATCACCACCACTCAGACAGATCATTGTCTTCAACGATCCCACGTACGTAAACACATATATCATTACCTATTGGCTCTACCACATTCCGAAATGAGTCAACATGCACCAACAGTAGAGATAACATACTATCCTACCCACAACAAATGGTGCCCACTTTCGGTCCTAGATTCCTACCTTCAAAATCCTTTCAGGAATTAAATACTGTAATGCATTTAAGGAAATGTCTGGTTAATTTGTATATATTTGTTGACTGTATTAAATCTTTGATTATTCATTTTGCCCTCTTTATTTACAGGCCTACCGTATCGTCGGTATCGGCACACCACAACCGACTTGCTCCCTTTACACTATCCTAAGCTTATGCTGGATCCTTACTCCATATACGGCTATTTTGCCCCTTACACAAGTATTAAGGCAGTTTTGCCTGTATTTGTGGGAGGGGCTTAAATTAATTCACTCCCCTATATAAGGGACACCCCTTACCTGACTCATATCGCTTGAGGTCAGCATCAGAATGACCCTCCCACCCACTCCTCATTTCAACACTTTCTCTTTTCTTTCCATTTACTTTACTTTCTTACTCCTTGGTGGGCCCTCTTTATTTACAGGCCTACCGTATCGTCGGTATCGGCACACCACAACCGACTTGCTCCCTTTACACTATCTTAAGCTTATGCTGGATCCTTACTCCATATACGGCTATTTTGCCCCTTACACAAATATATATATATATACATATATATATATATATATATATTTAAATTCTATGTCTATACTTATGTAATATTTTTATATAAATAAGTAATTTTATTGATTACAATTTGAAGGACCTGTCTGACAACCCAGGCAGAAAGTCCAGAGAATTTAGTTCACAAGCCCTCTAGTTAACCTTATAACATTCCAAGTCACTTTAAAACTTGTACATGGGGAGTACCTTTATTCTCGGGAGACTTCTCTGAACACAAATATTTATGTTTCAAAACATGAAAAGTATCCTAGCAATGATATTGTCAGTGAAAGTGCCTTTTTTGCGGTTTTCTTCCACCCCCCCCCTTTACTTTGTTTTCCTGTTCCTGGCCCTGCACTATACGGCTTTGTCCTTGGACTTTCCAGTTTATGTTATTTATTTAATCAATAACAATTTTAAGTTAAGTGACTTGGTTTGTTCTAATCTCTGCATACTGAGCCCATTCACCCCAAACCAGTGAAAAGTTATTACTGCCTTTAATTGGGAAAATATTAAATGTTTGAGCCGCATTTACACACATATTTATTTTTTATCACAAATAAATATATCTATTCCATGTCAGCATTAAATTAGACCTTCACAATTATCCAGTTCATTATTTGTATTCCCTGTCATTTCTAACAATAAGGAGATGATGCAGTTAGCTGCTGGCAATAAACAGCACCTTCCTCCTTTCATTAGAGAATTCTCAAAAAAATAACCTCTGCTACAAGTTCACCAGAAACCCTGGGGGTACAACATTTTTAAGAAAAAAATCTGTGCTTTCATGCGTATGTTAATAACGGTGTGCATATTTATTGTTAAATGTACAATTTAGAGTTTCATAAACAAAAAATAATATAATGACTTAAATTATTCACTTCCCTAAGGGTTTTGAAAAAACAAACAACAGAACTCTACAAAAGTTGGCAAGTATCAGTATTCTGAACATGCACACTGGCAAGTATTTGTAATAAATTGATATATGACTTGCTGCTGTCAAGGCCCCTAATGTAGCAGTTGATGCCGTGCATCAATTTATTTATTTTTTATGTGGATCTTTTTTTGATGTCAAACCAGTGTGTGTCCATTTGGCGACATCTGTTGCTTACTTTTTGGTGTCATTATTGACGCATGTTAACGTCAGTTACTCTGAGGTTTTTTAAGGCCACTCCTCTCACTTACCCAAGAGTGCTTTTTGTTATCTGGTGTTTTCTGGTTATTGACTTGGCTCTATTTTTGACTACTAGGATCCTAGACCTTGGCTCTGTTATCGTGCTTACCCTTACTCCTTGATCTCTACCTGACCATGTTTATTCTTTTCTTTCTGTTGTCATGCTGTGTTCTATACTATCCCATGATAAGCCCAGCTTCTCTAAGGACAGGTAGTATGTTGTCTGTCCTTATTATAGTGCCTTAGGTTGGTGTGTTGTGGTTTACCAGTATTGACAGTTGCTATAAAATGTAATATATGTTATGGTGATTACAAAAAAAAAGAGTAACAAAAACTCTACAATAATTGACCTATTATTTAAGCATTCTTTATTTTGTTTTTGTTTTTTTGGGGGCATTGCATTACAGAAGTGAAGCAATAAAATGTTACAAAGAAATACCTAAAGAGTCAGATAACATCCATCACATTACAAAAAAAGATATATTAAAGGGGTTGATGTGGCACCTTGGAAATTCTTTGAGTACATATGCAATACAAAACAGACAAGTAAAGACAGGAACTGATAGTGTAGTATATCTTAATGTTCTTGGAAGAAGTATAGTAAGCAAAATGTACACTTAAATTTTTCTGGAGCTTCAATCTAGCTCCAATTTGAGCGTATCAGTGGAATAATCCTTGTCTATGGTGTAATGTTGATACAGCAGGCCATTCTTATGATGGTAGATATACTTGTTGGACATATAAGGTAGAAAAGAAACATAAATTAGTGTAGTATGTCACACTTAGTAATGGAATCAATTAGATAAAAATATTGCACTCACATATTAAGGAGCCTTCTATATTGGCTCTTATAGTACAACTTGAAGTGGTGACTGAAGTAGTCAGTACGATATCTTTGGATCTCGGCCGTCAGTTGAGGATTATGCAATAATGTAGAACTGAAGCACCTCGATCATTGGCTTGGAGACCTGGGGTATCTTAAATGTTAAGGAAATATCTGCATGATCAGACCATCTATATTATAGGATCTTATAAACAGTTGAATCAAGCGAGAAACCAGTACGGTTAGTGAGTGTGAGAATAACATATAAAATCTGAATCAGTGGGGTGTAACAGTCTCCAGATGTCCAATAGATGGAGCTGAGAGGCAAACTGTTGCAGTAGATTATTATTATTTTATTATTTGTATAGCACCAGCAAATTCCGTAGCGATGTACAATGGGTGGACTAACAGACACGTAATTGTAACCAGACAAATGGACTTGAGGGCCCTGCTCAATTAGCTTACATGCTAGAGGGAGTGGGCTATAGTGACACAAAGGGTATGAGTAGGGGTAATGAAATAGGTTGCTAGAAAAATATTCACTGAGAACTTAGTAGGTTATTTTTGACAGTTGCAGGAGAGGAGTCATGGGGGAGGAGGGTATATTTTATACTTATATTAGTTTTATTGATCCCTGAGGAAGTCTTTTGTAAAGAAGAAATGCGTAGGACCTCAATTTCTTTTTTTTTTTTTTACCTTTTTACTTGCACAATAATGCAAAATATAGTTCTTGATAGTCCAGTCTTCCATTCCGTGGTGATGACATCATAAAGGGAGAAGGAATCCTGGATATGCCCCCCAATTATCCAAGGGGAGGCACCGTAAGGCGACTTTTACTTCTCAATCTTGTGAGTGTAGTTATATCTGGCACAAATTATTTTATATAACCGTATTACACTATTGTATCATTTTTGCTTTTTCTGTAGATAGTCAGCTATACTCTCTACACTTTTGTTTGGTGATATTTCTTGGGATAAAGTCTGGAATATCCTGAGAGGAAGCTGCCCTGTATTTATTAATTGATGAGTACTTTTCTGACTTACACACTATTTCTTATAGGTGTCAGTCTATATTGTTTTGTTTTATATACTACTTGTAAGCAAGCACCAGAATCTTAAATTGAGCCCTTGATCATCTGATCAGTTGCTGTGACCTTGTTGTATCTGGGTGTTCCTGGATCTGTGCTGATCCAAGGTAGGTGAGAATACTGCATTGAAGTCTCCTCCAATAATGAGATGATGTGAGTTAAATAAGCTGTTATAAGTGCAAAGTGCTTCCCAGAATGAAGGTTCTGGGGTATTTGGTGCATAGACTGACATAAAGGCAAACCTTATTGGGCTAATGTGTCCAGCCAGTGGTGGATCTACCGCGGTCGCAGGGGTCGCAGCTCCAACTGGGCTCATCACTCCAGGGGGCCCGGCCGCCCTTGTAGATACAAATATCAATCTCACTATCTATCCTAGCTGTTCATTTAAGGGTTAATGTGAACCAAGGATAAATTTGGAATTGTATCTCCGAT